TCCGTTTGTTGAGTTCGCTGAAGTTCTGTAATTTCGATTGTTATTATTACAGAATAGTTTTTCCGTTCTATCCTGGGAGGAAGTAATCCATAACCTTGGGCAACAATGAGGGGATTAAATTCCTTAAGGACACACAAGTAACTTGTGGGCTCGGAATTATTTTACAATTTGTTTATTGAACTAACGTTGTTTGCTTCTCTGATTTACTGATTTTGAACACAGATTACCAACAAGCTTTAAGGAATTTAAGTTTTTATATATTCAACTTCTGTGTTCGTGAGAATTGGCGAATCTGCAAAATAGAGAATTTGGTCACTGTTCTGAAATTTGTCAAAGGATTGGAGAACAAGCGAGTACTAAATATAGTAAGGACACGCACACCATATGCTAGCCACGACTATTGCATGAAAGGAAAAACATTCCAAGAGCATGGAGATGTGTCCAGTACTTTTGGAAACAGGAAGCATGTACTGATAATTGTAATCGTTGCAATTATTTATTGATTCGGTGTGTTCACTTCATAATAGAATTACAATAAATTCACCGTCTGTCAATGTGATGAAATATATTTCATTGTAATGAAGTGTTCAAAGATAAGTGATGGACCGAAAATTAAGAAGGACATCATCTTGACTTCTACCATGTCTGAAGTTAAAGCATAAAAATATCAAAATGACGATGTTGAAAAAGATAGCAGAGAAAAGTGCATTCCCTTAGAGATAAATGGGTAGCAACAAACGTGGGTTCACAGTATGCATTAAAATTGAATTTGTTTTGGCAAATAATTTCAGCATTTGGGATATAAAAAGGTTGGAAATAATCCCTTCTATAAAACTTTGCTATGCAATAGAAAATTACATCTGAGGGCCATCTCAAAGGCATGAACCCAAAATCATTTTTATAGAATCTTCTTGTTGATTCTTGGTCCTAAGCGAGAACTGCAAGGTTTTATAATGATGTTGTCTACGCAGTCTGCGGGCTTGCGGCGTTGGGAAATTTTTTTCCCCTTGATGTCGAATAATAACAGTTGAGGAGGCTTTAAAATAAATAAATAAAAAATGAATGTTGTGATTTTCAATTACCCAACATGGACTATGTCATGACTTGTTAGCAATTTAAAGGCATAAATCATACTCCAAGAAGTTTAATTAGCCAAAAGCCTATGAGTAGGAACTTAACTGTTCCATTGTCAAAATCAAAAATTATAACTTTGACGTCTCTTCTTTGGCATTGGTCCAAGCAAGAAAAGGATTATGTATTCTGATTGGAGTGAACACGTGAAAAATCTGTTAGCTGCCATGGATGAAGGATCTGAAGCTTAGGTAAAAAATGAATTGTATCAGTAGAGAAGAGAAGAGAGGAAGCACTGTTCCATTGAATTAGAAAAGAGAAAATAACTGCCGTGTCTATTTAGCTAAGACAAGAGGCTATTTATATCTATTTCTAATTACTGACTAACTACTTTACTATCTAACTAACCAACAGAGTTGGTATTTACAATAATAATTAACCATAGTTAGTTATCAGCTTGACTATTTAACCCTTCAACACTCCCCCTCAAGCTGATGATTGATATACATTCTTCAACCCAAAGTTGCTTAACAAATGCTCACGTTGAGCCTTTCCAAGGCTCTTAGTTAGTAAGTCTGCCAATTGATCTTCAGTATGCACATATTCAGTTTTCAGCATTTCTTCACACAACTTTTCTCTTACAAAATGACAATCAATGTCAATATGCTTTGTTCTCTCATGAAATATTGGATTTGCAGCAATTTGGATTGCTGCTTTACTGTCACATACTAACTTCACTGGCAGACAGACTTTGACTCCCAGTTCTGCATATAATCCCACCAGCCAAGTAACCACTGCTGCACAGGAGGCCATACTTCTGAATTCTGCTTCAGCTGAGCTTCTGGAGACTGTGCTTTGCTTCTTGGACTTCCAAGATACTAGAGCATTTCCAAACTTCACCAGATACCCAGTTACTGATCTTCTTGTTTCCACGCAAGCTCCCCAATCAGAGTCACAGTAGGCAGTTAGACTCTTTATGTCTTGTGCAGGCATAAACTGCCCAAGACCAGGTGCTTGCTTTATGTACCTTACCACTCTTGATGCAGCCTCCATATGGGAAATCCAAGGACAATGCATGAACTGACTTAAGACTTGTACTGCAAAGGCAATGTCAGGTCAGGTCATAGTTAGGTATAGTAATTTCCCAACTAGTCTTTGATAAACACCAGGATCTCTTAGCACTTCATCAGCAGCAACATTTTCTTTCCTGAAAGATAGATCATATTCTACAGTGGTCAGCTTCTGATTGAGTTCCATAGGTGTGTTAACTGGCTTTGCTCCACTAAGACCTGTAGTAGAGAGCAGCTCTAGAGCATATTTCCTCTGACTCATTAGGATCCCCTTGCTAGACCTTGCAAATTCAATGCCTAGAAAGAACTTTAGTTCTCCCAGGTCCTTCATTTTGAACCTGCTTTGAAGATCTAACCTTGTGTCACATAGCAGCTTGTGATTGCTGCCAGTAATTAAGAGATCATCTACATATACAAGTATGATCACAATATCATCCCCAACTCTCCTAACAAATAGTGAGTAATCATAGTAACTCTGCTGAAATCCCATATGTACAAGCTCTTCTGTAAGTTTGAGATTCCACTGCCTGGGAGCTTGCTTGAGACCATACAGAGATTTTTGAAGTTTGCAGACCTTCTAAGACTCCCCCTGTCTAGCAAACCCTTCAGGCAACACCATATATACCTCTTCTTCTAAATCACCATTAAGAAAGGCATTATGGACATCCATCTGATAGATGTACCATTGTTTGGACGCAGCAACAGCAACAACAGATCTCACAGTGACCATCTTGGCCACTGGTGAGAAAGTTTCTCCATAGTGTAAGCCCTCCTTTTGACTGTACCCCTTAGCTACTAGTCGAGCCTTGAATCTCTCAACCTCATCTGTAGACTTATACTTGATCTTGAATACCCACTTACAACCAGCAGGGACCTTCCCAGGAGGTAGATCAACAACAGACCAAGTGTTATTTGCTTCTAGGGCCTGTAGCTCAAGCTTCATAGCTTCTATCCACTTAGGATCAGAGGCAGCCTCCTTGAAATTAGATGGTTCTGTGACTGCTAAATAGACTGAGACTGCCTGCCTGTATGAGAGGGAGAGATTGTTGTAATCTACATGTGCAGAGATAGGGAAGGTGCATTAGAGCCTTTAGTTTGTGTGACAAAGTCTTGTAGCCATATAGGAGGCTTGCTTGGCCTAGAAGACCTTCTACAGCCCATGAAAGGTTCAACACTAACAGCATCAGGAGCAATGGCTTCAGCAGGAGGTGAGGGAACATCAAGGCCAGCAGTTTGCTCAAGAGCACCATTTTGCTCAAAAGTATGATTATGCTCCTCCAGATCAGATGTTTGAGGCAGTGCAACATCTGAGAGATGGTTGACCTCTGAAGGCAAGGAAGGTGATGAAAAAGAAGCTGGTGCTGCAGCATCAGCTGTAGAATTTTCATAAACAACTGGAGAGAGCAAATCCAACACAGGGAATACAGGATTGCCATATGAACTCACATGTTTGAAGGGAAAGACATCTTCCTTGAATATGACATTTCTGCTCACCAGGAATGTTTTGGAGTGTAGTTCATACAGAAGGTAACCCTTTTGTGTTGAAGAATACCCCATAAGCACAGCAGGAACAGCTTTGGGTGAGAACTTGTCTAGTATTCTAGGAGTTGCAGCATAACATAGGCATCCAAAAATTCTCAAGTGGGACAAAGAAGGAGAGTGCAAATAAAGCATCTCAAATGGGGACTTATAGTCAATCACTTTGGAAGGAAGCCTATTCAGTATGTAAAAAGCTGTAGTAACACACTCACCCCAAAACTTTAAAGGAACATAGGCCTGAAATCTGAGTGCTCTTGCCATGTTAAGAATAGTTCTATGTTTCCTTTCTACCACTCCATTTTGTTGGGGTGTATACACACATGAGCTTTCATGAACTATACCAAGACTAGAATATAAATTTTTGAAATCAGTGCTGAAAAACTCACTTTCATTGTCAATTCTCAAGACTTTAACTGTGGTAGAGAATACATTTTGAACTTGAGCAAAAAAGTTCTTTAGAGCAACATAGGCTTCAGACTTAGAAGTTAAGAGAAATATCCAAGTATATCTACTATAGTCATCTACTAGAGTAACAAAGAATCTTTTTCCATCATGAGTAGGACATCTGTATGGTCCCCATATATCACAATGAATCAATTCAAACATAGATTGAGTACTACTAATCTCAAAAGGAGGTCTACTTTGCTTGGCTAGTGGACATACAGTACACTGTTGACTGTCATTGGTAGTCAACTTATTCAACTTGTCTACTCTTCTTATTACATCTAGGGGAGCATGTCCCAATCTCTTGTGCCATAAGTAGCTTGACCCTGCAAGAGAGGGGGCAGTAGAAGGGGCAGTAACTGCAGATGCACTCTTATTTGTCATTTGAGCTAAGAATTGTTCTGAAACACCTCATTTAAGCACATAAAGTCCATGTTCCTCTCTACCAATCCCCTTCACCTGACCACTGTAAAGATCCTGAAAAATACAGAAATCAGGAAAGAAGCCTACCATACACATTAGTTCCTTGGTGGGTTGTGAAACTGAGAGCAAGTTGAACTTAAAGTCTGGAATATAGAGTACATTAGAAATCTTCTGATTGTTCAACATAGATGTACTCCATGTGTGTGATATTTGCACTGCATTACCATTAGGAAGATGAACTATATTTTTCTCTGTTGTAGGAAGTGGCTTATGTGTTTGTAGTAACTCAAGTCTAGATGTCATGTGATTTGAGGCTCCAGTATCAATTATCCAATCACTATTGATACACTGGGACACAAAAGCATACACATGAGTTAGAATACCTGCAGCAGCTACTTTGCTAGATGAGCCAGAGCCTTCTGTACTTCCTTTGGAAAGCATTTGAACAATCTGCTAGTACTGCTCCTGAGTGAAAAATGGTTGTGTCTGTGTCATTTGTGGTGTTGTAGGATTAGCTGAAGTAACTCCCTTTTGATAATAAGATCCAGTGTTCAGTTGTTTTTCACAACTGATATGATCTTCCTCTGCTGCAAAGCTTGGATTTCCTGCAAAATTAGCATAAAGTCCAGGTGCACTTCCTTTTCTTTTAGACTTAAAATCAGGTGGATAGCCTATTAGCTTGAAGCAATTTTCTTTGGTGTGTCCTTTATAATGACAGTAGTCACACTGAACATTATTCTTTCTTTGTCTATAACCTTCACTGGTAACATTTGGACCTTTGTTCCCATATAGGGCAGTGCTCTCTAAGCCTTCTGCAAGCTGTGTAACCTGAGCCATGCTTGCTAGATTTCTTTGACTCTCTTGATCAACAAGAAGTGAATAAGACTTGTTGATAGTAGGCACTGGAGTCATCATCATAATTTGACTCCTGGATTGTGCATAAGAGTCATTCAAACCAGTGAGAAACTGCAACAGTCTTTGGGCCTCAAAGTGCTGAGCATATAGCTTGGACTCAGGACATGGACACCCTAGGCAAGGCATTAGAGCATCAAACTCATCCCACAAATCTCTCAATTTTGAGAAGTAATCTGCTACAGTCTTAGTTCCTTGAGTCAGATAATGCATTTCTCTATGAAGGAACAATACTCTAGAGCCATTTACTTTGTCGAACCTTTCTTTTAGATCTTCCCACACCTTATGAGCACTAGATGCATAAAGCACACTGCTCAACAAACCAGGTCTTACAGCATTCATTATCCATGACAACACAACAGCATTAACCTTTTCCCACAGATCATGAAGTTCTGGTTCGAATTTAGACTTTGGAAACCTTCCATCAACAAAACCTAACTTACTTTTACCTAACAAACCAATTCTCATAGCACGACTCCACAACATAGTTATCAGATCCAGTCAATTGAATAGAGACTAGAGAACTACCTGGCGTGTCGGTTGGTTGTAGGTACAGTGGGTGATTATGATCGATAGAAGGAAATGACGAACCAGAGCCAACAATTGATGTGCGAGCTGTGGTATTATCTTCCTCAGTGCCAATCGCCATTGTAGACTTCACTTTGAATATAGAAATTACAAACCCTAGCTTCAATTTTATGATTACTCTAAGACAATTTTGCACCTAAATTTTTTGCAGAAATTGAAGTAACCTAGAAGCTGAGTGTAGAAATCAGAAGAGAGAGCTGAGGCAGTGACGGTTCAGATCATTTCCAATGGCTCTGATACCATGTTAGCTGCCATGGATGAAGGATCTGAAGCTTAGGTAGAAAATGAATTGTATCAGTAGAGAAGAGAAGAGAGGAAGCACTGTTCCATTGAATTGGAAAAGAGAAAATAATTGTCGTGTCTATTTAGCTAAGACAAGAGGCTATTTATATCTATTTTTAATTACTGACTAACTACTTCACTAACTAACTAACCAACAGAGTTGGTATTTACAATAATAATTAACCATAGTTAGTTATCAGCTTGACTATTTAACCCTTCAACAAAATCTTCCCTTGCAAATATTTTGCATTGTACCATGCTTTGGCAGAATTTCCTACGATGATGTTTGGTGTCCAGAATTGGTTTCTTTTTCTTTAACTTTTTACCAAGAGTGATCTGTCTTTGAAAAGGATTGACACATATCAGAATATGCTTTGTAACACGTGGTTATTGTGTTGACAAGTGGAAGATTATTTTCAAGGTTGTAAGATATGAATTAGACTTATACTAAAACTTGAAAATAATTTTGAGATTATGAGTATAATATATGTAAAGATATTACATATGTTTGTTTGATAAAATAATATATCAAACTGTTGAAATGTTTGGGGTGCAATGGTTGAGTTGGAAGCCATTTCAAAAGAAAATTAAAAATACTTGTGATTTTTTACCCTTGTTTTGGAGACTAAAATCTGTGTGATTTTTTACTCGTTCGTTGAGATTAAAGTCTTTGTGACTTTCTACTCATTGTCGGAAATTAAAGTCTAAGTGACGTTGTAGACATGCGATTTTTGACCCTCCCCAATATTTTTTATATTTTAGCATGTAAATAGTCTAGGCCTAATATAGCTATTTAACCTAATTTTTACTCTTTTACGTTCTTTTAATACAAATATATATATATATATATATATATATATATATATATATATATATATATATATATATATATATATATATATATATATTATTTTAGTTATTCTGC